GATTCTTGTCCATCCCTCGAAGTCTCGACCCATGCCCTGGGTTCGGCTTTTCCTCCTGAGCTGTTCGTTAACGGTCCAGGGGCCCGGCGAGGGCCCCTAGAGGCCGAAAACTGAGAAAAACCTCCGTCTTGATTTTTTCAGTGCATTGGATCTCTGGGACACACACACACACACACAGACACACAACGCCGGACCGGCCTCTTTCCTCGCGCGCCCTGCCCGCGGCAGGGCCCCCGGGGCCACCGCCCCGCGGCGGGCAGCTCCCTCGGGCGAGGCGCCCCTCAGCGCCTCGGCGGCGGCCCCGCGCCGGGGCGGCGTCTGCCCGGGGCTGCGCCTGGTGCGCGCGCTGCTGGCGGGCCCGAGCTGGATTCAGCGAGCTGGATTCAGCGAGCGAAGAACGGTCTAACATAATTTTTGTTCGCTGTCGGGGGCGCCTGTCCCTGGGCGGCTGGAACGTTTATACCCCTACGTTGGCACCGTAAGGGTATAAACTTTCCAGCCGCCCTGGGACAGGCGCCCCCGACAGCGAACAAAAATTATGTTATACCGTTCTTCGCCCGTTAATGGATCGAGCCGCGAGGTCGGATCCCAGACCTTGAGCAGGGACCGACCGTCCGGGCATTACTACAGCCCTACCACGAGATGCTCTGAGACCCCAAGCATGTTCCAAGAACAAAAACAGTGTGCTTAGAACATCGACCCGATGCGGCAAAACAAAACAGACTCCGCCAGAAATGTTCTAAGAACACTTCGTGGAAACCACAAACGGGTTCTTAGAGCATTGTTCGGTAGGGCCATGGGCCAGCCAGGACGCTTCGCCACTGCTGGACACACCCCCTCGGATCGAGGCTTTCTGGCCCGAGCGCGGCGGGCGTCCTCCTTTCCCCTTTTTTTTGCCCCTCCCCCCCAGACCCCCGACGTCATGATTTTTTCATGACGCGACCCCCAGAGGTCCGGACCGATTCCCCGGGACCGGTTTTTCATCCTGAGTCGTTTTTTGACGGTCCTGAGGGCCAGTAAGGGCCCCCGGAGGCCGACAATAGCGAAAAACTTGCCGTCGTGATTTTTTCATGACTCGAGGGTGTCTGGGCCAGACGTGCTCGCGCGTCGCGAATAAAAATCACGACGGGAGGTCTTGCGCCATGTTCGGCTCCCGGGGGCACTCCAACCGGGCCTCGGGGCCGCCCGGAAACGACGCAGGAGGAGAAGCCAGTCCCGGGAAATGGGCCGAGACCTCTGGGGATCGACGTTTGGGCGCCTGAGTTATCCGGGGTAACTCGGGTCCGGGGTAACTCGGGCTTGGATTCCCGAAACAAAAGAACCCGAGTTATCCCTGACCCGAGTTACCCCTGATGATCCGGGGCTCTGAGACGTGGCGAAAAAATCGTGACGCTGGGGGCGTCTCTAGCTGGGCTCGGATCGGCCACGGCTCGGATCGCCGGCGAGCCGCCCCGACCCGAGCCGACGCCGGCTCGCCGCGCCCATGCGCTCCAGCTGGCCACGGCCGCTGCCCGCGGATCGGACCGGAGCGAGCCGGAGTCGGAGGCGCGGCCCCGGCCGGCGAATCGAACCACATCGAGTCGCATCGAATCTTGGCGGCGCGCGCACAATAAAACGACGCGAAGATCGGGACAAAATCGGATCGGGATAGTTCGAGATCTCTGAGAATCGGCGGGTTTGGAGGATGTATCGGGCGCCGCGGCCGCTCCAGAGCGTTCCGGAACGCTCTGAGAGCGCTCTGGAACGCTCTGGAGCGATTTATCCCGATCCTAGCCCTGTTTTACACAAAGGGGGGAGGGAGGGGGGAGGGCTTCTTAGCAGGAGGCTGCTTCTCAGCAGGCGCCGGCCTTACATCTACAGAGAAGGCCCGCACCTCCTAAGGAGCAGGGGTGCTTCTAAGAAGCCCTCCCCCCTCCCCCCACCCCCCTCTGCGCGTGGCTGAGAATCGGATCGGGGGGGGGAGGGAGGCCACCCCGCAGAGCCACGCCCGACGTCGTGATGTTTTCGAGGAGGACGAGACAATCCCAGACCCCCGACGTCGTGATGTTTTCGAGGAGGAGGAGGAGGAGGAGGAGGAGGAGGAGGAGGAGGAGGAGGAGGAGGGGGGAGGGAGGCCACCCCGCAGGGCAGCGCCCGCAGGCGCCGTGGGAGGTCCGGGAGGGGCGGCCCCCTGCGCGCCCCGAGCGCCAGGTGCCGCGGGTCGCCCCTGGGGGAGGGGCGCCCCCGCGTGCGGCCGGGCCTGGGGCAGACGAAGGCCCTTGGAGAGCACAAGAGGCCCTCCCCCCGCTTGACTACCTACCAGACCACCCCAACCCAACCCGAAGACCCAAATTTCGGGTTGGGGGGGGGGTATGGGTTCCACACGTGTTTTTTCAATGTTCCCCGACCCCCCCCCCCACTGGAAATGGAGGGCAAATGGAGGCCTTCGGGTTGGGTTGGGGTGGTTTGGTAGGTGGTGACCGCTTGCGCAAGCCGGGAATGGATACCGCTGGTAAGCCGAGCAGAGGGCCCTTTCATCAACAGGGACGACCGCAAGGGGTGCCAGTTGCGCGGGTTCCCGAGAGGCTCACGCTTCAGGGGGGCACCCGCCACCGCGTGCGTCGTCTCGCCGCACCGGCGCCGTCACCGCCAAGCCAAAGGGAAGAGCAGTCGAGGGTACCCTCCCCCAGGGTGCGCCAGAACATCCAACGAGCACGAAGAACAGCAGGGTAGCCTCCCCGAGGCGACCTCGCCACGGTGGGGGCATTGGATGAGAAACCCTTAGATAAGGAATCCAGGGTCTGGTTGCCAGTGGAACTCCAATCGTGGATCGGCCATGGATATCACCACCGCCCCCATTGAATAAGGAATCCTCGAGGGTCTACTGCCCCTTTGGACACATTCCTTAACGAACGCCCCCACCGTATTATACCTCGGCCCGACCGTATCGTTAGGTCGGGCGTGTCCCCCTACAGGCCGATTTTGGACGAAAAATAGAACATACACAGAACATATTACAAAAATGTTCAAACATAGTCAAAACATACCCCCAAAATGCTCCAAACAAGTTGACTATTTTTGAATACTCCTCCTGTAGAGAGACACGCCCGACTCAACCGTATCGCTGCGTGCGGGAGGGGGCACGCATCGAGGCCCAGACGCGCGGCCTACGGTCGCCCGAGGCCTCGAGGGTCGAGGCTCCGGGGATCGAGGTGCTCCTGCGCCCCTCCGCCCTCTTTATGGGCCTCCTTGGACGCCCTTGTGACCACGGCATGGCCCGGCCCGAGCTCTCCCTCGGGACAGAATCCAGGAGGAGAAGGAGGGAGGAGGAGGAGGAGGAGGAGGAGGAGGAGGAGAGGAGGAGGAGGAGGAGGAGGAGGAGGAGGAGGAGGAGGAGGAGGAGGAGGAAGGAGGAGGAGGAGGAGGAGGAGTGAGGGGGGGGAGTTTTCACCCCCTAAGGTCCGAGGCCCCCGGATGGGGTCCGAGCATATGTCGTGTCGGAGGACTCCGCTGCGTCGCCACGCCGGCGGCGCCAGTGCATCGCCGACGTCGCCGGTGCGTCGCCGATGCATCGGCGAGGCGTCGGTCGGCGGTGCGGCGCGGTCCTCGCGGGGCCCCCTTCCTCTCTCCTCCTCCTCATCCTCCCTCCTCCCCTCCCCCTCCTCTCCTCCCCTCCTCCTCCCCTCTCCTCCTCCCTCCTCCTCCTCCTCCCCCTCCTCCTCTCCTCCTCCTCCTCTCCTCTCCTCCTCCTTTCCTCCTCCTCATCCTCCTCCTCCTCCTCCTCCTCCTCCCTCCTCCTCCTCCTCCTCCTCCTCCTCCTCCTCTTCCTGACACTGCCGTGGGCGACGAGCACAGAGCTGGTCTTGCGCAAGGTGGCGTGGCGACCATGGCGCGGCGGCCTGCGCGGGCCGCCGGCGTGGCACGCCGCACCGGAAGCGGGGGGCGCCTGCGGGCGACCTCAGCACGCGGGCAGCCTGCGCGGCAGCGCCCGTGAGGACGGCCCCGGGCTTGCTCGCGTCGCGCCTCTGGGAGGCCTCCAGGGGGAGGAGGAGGAGGAGGAGGAGGAGGAGGAGGAGGAGGAGGAGGAGGAGGAGGAGGAGGAGGAGGAGGAGGAGGAGGAGGCCTCCGCATGCCCACACGTCCGGCGGCGCCCGCAGAAGTCGAGGCGGCCACTGTCGCGGGCGTGAACGATATGGAGGGGTCATGGGGGAGAGCGGGGGGAGGAACGGGCACCATGCGTGCCCCGCTTGAGCCCCAGGGGGCCCCTTTCAGGGCCCCCCTGGGGCACAAGAGGTGCTCTTGTCCCCCCCCCCCAGTTTGACACTTTTCCTCACTCCCCCCGTTCCTCCAGGGCAATTGTCCTCACTCCCCCATGTGACACTGCACCCCCCTTGCACTGGACGCCCGAATCGAGACGGCCGCTGCCCGTCAACTTTGGGCTTCCGGCGGGAGGTGCGGCCAGCCTCGGGCCCCAGCACCGCCAACCACACGGCGCTCGAGATGGGGGGCCTCCGCCCCAGATGGGAAGAGGCCGAGAGGCCCCGGGGGTCCCTCCTGAAGATCTGGCGCTGCGAAACAGATTGCTACATCCCCGGACCCCCCCTCGGGTCATGAAAAACTCCGGACGGGAGGCTCCTCGCTAGATTCTGCAACTGGGGGCCCTCACCGGGCATCGGGACCGGCAAGAAATGAGTCGGGACTAGAAACCGGTTCCTGGGAAATGGGTCGATACCTCCAGGGTTCGACGTTATGACAGAGTCATGGCGTCGGGGGTCTCGGTCGAGGAAAATCACGACCGGAGCCCGAGACCGCTTTTTCTGATGCATTCTTCGAACCGGATCGATCTGTGGTAGACCCAGGGCCCAGAACCGGGCAAAAACGCCTGGAGCGCAAAGGTTGCAACGCCCCGACCTCAGGGACGGCTCGACTGTCGAATGTCTGGGACTCCTCCACGCGCCCCCCCTCCCAGCAATGGCAGCACGCGGCGCTGCAGCAGCGATGAGTCCGCCGCTCGCGCGCGATCAGAAGGCGGCCGCGGGCAGAAGCCAGCGGCGCGCGCGAGAAGGGCGCAGGGCGACGCGGCGGCCTAGTGACAATGCAGGGGAGCCAACAAACGAGCACCTCTGCGGACAACCGCCCAGGCGCAACTGCGACCGAGCGGGCGAGGCCATGGCCTCAGGGGATCTGGCACCCGAGTGGCTCTTGGAAACGACAAGGCCCTTTGCCCCCGTTCTCGTTTTGCTGCGTTTGTCCCAGCTCCGGCGCTGTGTTTTTTTCCGGTTCCGTCGCCAGCTCCAGATCCGTTTTTGCTCCGTTTCGGCGGACCGTTGTCTTGCCGTTTGCATTCTCCGGATCAAGATTCTTGGAAACGATGAACAAAAACACGCCCCGCCGCTTCCAAAAACTGCCTCGCTGCGTGGGCGCCAAAAACGTGCATCGCGGCATGCATTGGCGGCGCCCACAAGGGGGTGGAGGGAGAGGGAAGGGCTTCTTGGAAGGAGGCTGCTCCTTAACAGGCGCCGGCCTCACATCTACAATCTACCGAAAAGGCCCGCGCCTTCTACTTGCCATCGCTCGGACGTCCATTCCTCGCGTATTTTTCGATTTCGTGCGTGCTTTTTTCGCCCCAAGTCATCCAGGATGCTCCCCCATCTCCTCGCCGAGGAAAGAGTGCACACGTCCGAGCGCGATGCCAAGTCGAAGAAGCGGGGGTGCTTCTAGGAAGCCCTCCCCCCTCCCCCCCACCTCTGCGCGGCCGAACGCACCTAATGCGGCAGAGCAGCCCTCGCCATCGGTCGGACGTCCCATTCCCTGTGTTGTTTGTTTCGGTTTCGTGCGCGGCTTTTTCGCAAAATGATCAAGGATGCTCCTCCATGCCCCTCGCCGAGGAGAAAGTGCACACGTCCGAGCGCGATGCCAAGTCGAAGAAGCGGGGGTGCTTCTAGGAAGCCCTCCCCCCTCCCCCCCCCCCTCCGCGCGCGGCCGAACGCACCTAATGCGGCAGAGCAGCCCTCGCCATCGCTCGGACGTCCCATTCCCTGTGTTTTTGTTGCTCGGTTTCGTGCGCGGCTTTTTCGCCGGATGATCTCGGAGGAGGGCAACGTGAGACAACGGCCGCGAGACAACGGTGGCCAAATCGGCTCGAAATCGGTCCCCGGACCCCTCCCGGGGTCCAAACGCACCGATTTTTCACGCTGCGTCCAGCCGTGGCGACGAGGAGGCCCCTCGGAGGCGAAAAAGGCAAAAACCGTCACCCTTGTCTTACCCTGCCCTCCTCTGATGATCAAGGATGCTCCTCGATGGCCCTCGCCGGAGGAAAGAAATGCACACGTCCGAGCGATGCAAAGAGCCCCCCAGGGGTGGCCGGCCCCTCGGCAGGGCCGCCGCGGGAGGCGGGGCGCCTGCCGGGAAGGCCCCCCCCGCCCCGGTCGGCCCCCGCCCTGCGGCCGAACTGCGCTCCAAACGGGCCCACACGACGCCCCTCTGACGATGACGATGACGATGACGATGACAATGACGTCATCGTCATCGTCATCGGCACGCCTTAGATGGGCACATCGGGGGCGGCCACGAGGGGGGCGGCCAAGAGGGGGGCGTCCAAGAGAGGCGGGGGCGCAAATCACGGCCGGCGGCGCGTGCGCGGCCCAGGGGGGGGGCGCGGGACTGGGAATAGGAGGAGGCGTCATGAAATCTGGGGAAGTCTCTTGACCCCCGCCCTGTTACCCACCCCCTCCCCCTATTGGCCGCCCCCGGGTACAGCAGTTTCGTGTCGAGGCGACCCTGGCGCTAGTTTCTGACACCGCGTGGATCGTTCAACCTTGAACGACAGGCGGCTGTCCGATCACCAGATCGTTCTATGTTCGCCGGCTCTGGGCCACTGTCGGCGTTCAACTTTGAACGCCACTGGAGGGTTCGCTGAAACATCGGCGCGAAACGAACTCACCGTACGATGTTGTCCAAACCGACAGCAAACGCTGTTGGGCAGACGACAGTCTGCATCGCATGGACAGCGTCCGCGGCAACACTGACAATAAAAGCTTGTTCACTATGGACGGGGGCTGTTGTCGGTCTTCGTCGCCATTCGTTCCGTACCCCTTTTTATCGCGTCGAACCTCCCAAGGTACACCCCTGCCAGTTTGACAGTCTGCGTCCAGCCGCAAGCCACGCAAGAGCTTCCCCCCCGATCTGCGTCCGACAAAGGCCACGAAGGCGCCCTTCGATGCCCGACAAAGAGACGGAACAAAACATGCTAATACCAGCAAACAAACACACATAAACAACAGGGGGAAACGCCAACCAGCAACAGCAATCAGCTTGAGACTGCTCGCTCTTCGCTGCCCACGTGTGACCACAAACACGTATACCCCAGGATATCAACTCCCGCCCCCTACTGACTACCTACCAGACCACCTCAACCCAACCCGAAGACCCGAATTTCGGGGAGGGGGGGGGGTACGGGTTCCATGTGTGTTATCTCGATGTTCCCCGACCCCGCCCCCCACATGGAAACGGAGGTCATTTTGGAGGCCTTCGGGTTGGGTTGGGGCCAGACCCCCGACGTAATGATTTTTTCATTACGTCGACCCCCAGAGGTCCCGACCCTTTCCCCATGACCGGCTTTGCATCCTGAGTCGTTTTTTGACGCTCCCGAGGCCCGGTGAGGGCCCCCGGAGGCCGAAGATTAGGAAAAACCTCCCGTCATGATTTTTTCATTACTCGAGGGGGTCTGGGGGGTGGTGTGGTGGGTGGTGACCTCCTGGGGGGGGGGGGTAACTGTTCATGCCAGCGCTTGGGGAACCCGGAGGCGGGGCAAGACACGCGGGCCGCAGCGGGAGGGCCGCAGCGGGCGGGCCTGGGCGGCCGGAGCCCCACGGGCGGGGTGGGCGGGCCGGGCGGGCGAGGCACCAAGCGGGCGGCGCATTGGCTGTGAGGCAGGCGAGGGAACGGGCCCAAACGGGCAGGTCGGGCGGCGGACATCTGAGGGGCGGGTCGGGCGGGTCCAGCGGGCGGGCCCAACGGGCGCCCCCGGGCGGGCGGACCCTGACGGGCGGTTCGGGCGGGCCGGGTGGGCGAGGCACGGAAGCGGGCGAGCGGGCTTCCAAGCAATCGGCCAGGCGGGCCCGAACAGACGAGTCGGGCGGGCGGACCCTGACGGGCGGGCTGGGCGGGCCTCTCATGACGCGTGGGTCCGGCGGGAAGACCCTACCCCAGGCATGTCGAGCGGGCGGGACACTGAAGCGCGAGTCCTGTGTAAGGATATCGAGGGGGTATAGACGGAAGGAATCTTGAGCGGCGAGGGCTCGACAACTGAATCCAGCCGCCGACATGATGCCAAAAAGTGGGGTCCGCCCCACTGCCACCCCAGCAGCAGCTGGCGCCGCCCCACCATGTCGGGGCCACCCCAACGCGGCAACATCCTCCCAACCAAGCGGGGGCCGCCCCACCCAGTGGGCCCCGCCCACCCCGCACACGGCCCAGTGGAGGCCACCGCGGCGCGACAACGCCCTCCCCGTCCCAGAGGGGGCCTCCCGCCACCACCTCGGCGCCAACATCCTCCCCCAGTCTCTATGAGCCAGGACCGCGGTCGCTGAAGCTTGCCAGTTTTTCAAGGGTAGCAAGCTGGACCCTCAAAAGAAAAGGTATCGACAACGGCGGTGGCACCCCCACGCCAAAACACCACCAACACAACTGTTCAGCCATTCTGGACCCCAAATTATACGTTTTAGCGGATCTACATGTATAACCATTTGTAAGGCGATACGTATGTTCATCGACATAGGTGAATATACACAAACGCTGCGGGCAATATCTGTATAAACAAGACTATAGGTGTACCTCAATATGCGTCGTGTAATCCGTGTTGACCACATTCTAAATGGTGCAATCGGCATGGTGCTAAATATGTGGTGCGCAACCTGTGTGGTGTAATATACGTGGTGCGATCCGCGTGGTGCACATTAGTGTGTGATATATTACGTATGTACATACATGTATACACATGTGCAATATATGTGGCGCAATCTACGTGGTGCAAACAATGCAGCGCAAGTGAATTCCACGAGCGAGTTGAAAAATTCGTTGCTCTTGCAAACACTGGACCCGCCCGCCCGCAACTTGGCGATGAATATTTGGTGTTGGCTGGTTCATCTCTGCGGCCACGCTAGCCCGCGCACGCTCGCGCGCACAGCGGCCAGATAGATTGGCGCGACCGACGCGGCCGCGGTGGCGCTGACCGCTGGGCACTCCCCAGCGGGCACTTCAGCGCGAGCCGGTGACTTGGACGGGCGCGGTATCATGGCGACGCCGACAACGGCAGACACGATGATGAGAGCAGCGATGATGGCGACGATGGTGGCGATAACGACGGCAAGGCCAATGACGGCGCCGATGTTGATCACGCCCGCCGGCAACGATGATGATGTCCTCGCGTCGGCGGTGAAGGTGTTGGAAGGAGTTGGACATGCGCGTGCGGCCGACGCGCGCAAATGGCCCGAGTGACATTATTTGACACGGGTCGTGCCCCCCCCCAGCACGCGCGCACGGGCGTTCGAATGAGTTCGACATGCGGCGCGAAAGGCCTGCTGACAGAATTTGAAGAACAGGTTGCAAACCAACGGCTACCTTCAGAATCCGCAAGACCGCGAACGCAGTTTGTTGTGAGAACTGAGGTTGTAAGACCCATTTGTTTTTAAAGAAATGCGGGATACTCGCTTGTGACATTCTTGCGGAACCTGAGCTTTTGTGAGGATTTCGGCATGCGTACGCGGCGATGCGGACGCGCGCGCGCGCGCCCCACCTGCTGCCAATGATGATTGCGACAGCACGCGCGCAAGGGCGTTCGAGCAAAGTTGGCGCGCGCGCGCGCGAGAGGCCAGTTTGGTAGCACGGTATGAACACGTTGGGTATAAAGACCTACTGTTGGCTTCTGAATTCGCAAGAGCACTGAAACCAGTTGCGAAGACATGCGTAGTCTTAACCAAGTTTTCCTGACCCCCGGTACGAATTAGGCGTTTCAAAAAATTGTGGCATGCGCGCGCGACGACGCGCGCCTGTGCACTTCATCGCACTTGTTGCAAGGGGTTCTTGACAACTTCTGACGTGTGATAAACGAGTGCGCGCTTTTTGCCGAGGATAACGGGGGGGGCACCGATACGGGCCCACCTGGGACGGTACGGAAACAGATTTCAAATGAACGATGGGGGAGAATATTACGAAAATTGCGATACGAAAGCGTGCGCTGTTAACCCCCGGGGGAGGGCGTAGATCCCAATATTCTTTGAGAAAGTACGAGGAAATTCTGTTCACAATGAGTCGTCCACTCCAGTGCGCGCGCAATCATCCGACCCGCTCACCCGCAACTTGGCTTGCAAAACCCGTGCGGCGGCGATTGCGATGAGTGCTTGGAGTTGACTGGTGCATCACTGCGGCCGCGCTAGCCCGCGCATGCTCGCGCGCACAGCGGCCAGATAGTTTGGCGCGACCGACGCGGCCGCGGTGGCGCTGACCGCTGGGCACTCCCCAGCGGGCACTTCAGTGCGAGCCGGTGACTTGGACGGGCGCGGTATCATGGCGACGCCGACAACGGCAGACGCGATGATGAGAGCAGCGATGATGGCGACGATGGTGGCGATAACGACGGCAAGGCCAATGACGGCGCCGATGTTGACCACGCCCGCCGAGAACGATGACGATGTGTTCGCGTCGGCGATGAAGGTGTTGGAAAGAGTTGGACACGCGCGCGCGGCCGACGCGCGCAAATGGCCCGAGTGGCATTATTTGACACGGGTCGTGCCCCCCCCCGCACGCGCGCAAGGGCGTTCGGATGAGTTCGACATGCGGCGCGGGAGGCCCCTTTGGCAGAATCCCACCAGCCCTCTGGGCGCAGGTGGTCTAAGGCGCTTCCTTTTCCAACCTCCGTCCTTTCCCTGCTCGGGAGGTTCACCTCCCCCCCTCCATGCGTTTGGACGGGGGGGGGCCGACCCGCAGCAGCGTCCAAGATGGCCTCAGAGAGCGCAAGATGGCCTCCACGATGGCCCAAGATAGCGGTAGATGGGTCAAGATAGCCTCCGACACACGTCCAGGAGGCCTCAAGACGGCTCCAAGACGGTTTCAAGTGCTGTCCGAGGCCTCCGAGGACCCCCCAAGAAGCCAAAATCCTTCAAACACCTAAGGAAAATCAATGTGGTTTGCCTTCTTGCGTGATCGCCTCCGATGGGCTCTTGAGGCCTCAAGATGGCCCCAAAACGGCCCAAGATGGCCCCAAGAGGGGCCCAAGAGGGCCCCAAGACGGCCCCAAGAGCGCCCGAGAGCGCTCCAAGAGCGGCCCAAGAGGGCCCCAAAGCAACATGGTTGAGCCTCTGAGGGGGCAATGGGAATTAGAACCTCCTTGTTTTAGCGAAAGGGTCCAAGACGGCCCCAAGAGGCCCCTGAAGCATCCCAAAAAGAGCCCCAAGGAGGCCCCCAGACCCCCAAAGGAGCCCCAAGAGGGCCCCAAGACGCCCCAAAAGAGCCCCAAGAGGGCTCCAAGAAGGCCGTAAAAGAATCTCAAGAGAGCCCCAAGAAAGAGCTCCAGGAGGGCCCTAAGACGGCCCCAAGAGAACCCCAAGAGAGCCCCAAGATGGCTCCAAGTTTCGAAACGCACGCGAGTTTAAGATACAAGTCAGTGCAGCGGCCATTACGAATCAGCGAAACACCCCTCACCCCTCATCGAAGCACCATCGTAGCTTGCACCGATTTCCATCTTAAACTTCAATGCGGGAAGCTCTTTGTGATCCTTGTTTTCCCGAAGATAGCTGCGCAGCTGCATGCGTCCTCCTGCCGCCGTTCTCTCACGATTTCGCAAGAGCGCGCGCAGGCTTTGTTAGGACACTAGTGTTTCAAAACCTGGTTGGTTCGTTCAAATATTTTTCGGGACACTCATGTTTGAAATACGTACGATACCCAAGGCCATTTGTTTATAGGATTTCGGCGTGCGCAGGCGACGACGCGCGCCTGTGCACGTCGTCCCATGTGTTGCAAAGGGTCCTTGCGACAGCACGCGCGCAAGCGCGTTCAAACGATTTCGACCACGCGCGAAAGGCCCGCTTGGTAGCAAGTCATGAAAATAATAAACAAAACTTTAGTTCGTCCCAGGAATATGCACAAGCGCGGGCGCACATTGTTTTTGAGAACCCGCATTGCGAAACCATGTGTTTTACAAATTGTTGTCGTGGCGCTCGATTTTAAATTCCTTACGAAACCTAAGGTTTCGGCATGCGAGCGCGACGACGCGCGCGTGTGCAGTTCGTCCCAATTGTTGCAAGGGGGTTTTGGAAACTGAGGATGTTTGATAAACGAGTGTGCGCGCACAGTGTCTCGACCAGATGTAAATGGCAAAACGAAGAGGAGGGCGGTTAAATCCAGGGGGGAGATCCTAATACTCCCTTAAAAAAAGCAAATCTACGTTGTGCAATCAAGGCGGCGACGGGGCGGCGACGGCGAGCACGGAACCACCAGACCGACACCCAGGCCCAGACAACGGGCGGCGACGAGGCGGCGGCGACGAGGCGGAGACAAGGCGGCGACGAGACGGCGACGAGGCGGCGACGGGGAGCACGTCGCCGCCAGACCGACACCCAGGCCCAGTTCCTTAGGAAAGACATCAGCACCCCTAAGTACAAGCACTGCTTAGGGGCAAAGCACACAAAAAAACACGACACACCAAATCAAATGGAAACACAAACACAAACAACGCAACGCGGGCGCCTTCGAGAAGGCGACAGAAGCCGGCCTCCTTCCCCTGCCCCCTCTCCCCTGCTTCCTTCCCTTCCCTCACCCTCCTTCCCTTCCCTCACCCTCCTTTCCTTACCCCCCCCCCTCCCTCTGCCTCCTGCCCTTCCCTCTCATCCCTTGCCCCATCTCCCTCTGCCTCCTCCCCTTCCATTGCCCTCCCCTTCCCTTGCCCTCACCCACCCTCCGCCCCCTTCCCTTCCCTCACCCTCTTCCCCCTGCACCCCTCTCCCCCTGCCCCCCCCCTGCCCTTCCCTTGCTCTTCCCTCCCCCTCCTTCCCCCCCCCCTGCCCTTCCCTTGCCCTTCCCTGCCCTTGCGCCCTCCCTCCCTCCGCCCCCTGCCCTTCCCCCTGCCCTTCCCTGCCCTTGCGCCCCCTCCCTCCCCCTGCCCCCTCCCCAGCTCCCCTGCCCGCCCCACCCGAAGGGTACCCGAAGGGCACCCACCACCCGCAGGGCACCCGCAAGGCAGCCGCAGGGCACCCGCAGGGCACCCGCAAGGCAGCCGCAGGGCACCCGCAGGGCACCCGAAGGACGCCCACCACCCGCAGGGCACCCGCAGGGCACCCGCAAGGCACCCGCCCAGCATTCCCCCCAAACCGGCACCCCCAGATGAGCTCCACGAAGGCCCCCTGCCACGGAGGGGGGGGGGCCGCCGCCCCGGCGGCGAGCGCCCGCCGCCCGCCCTCAGATCGCGCCGCCCCCGCCGGCCGCGCGGCCCGCGACGAGGCCGGCGTCGGGCTCCTACCCGGCCGGGGAGGGGAGGGAGGATAGAGGAGGACAGAGGAGGATAGAGGAGGATAGAGGAGGGGGAGGAGGGGGAGGGAGGAGGGGAGGAGGGGGAGGAGGAGGAGGAGGAGGAGGAGGAGGGAGGAGGAGGAGGAGGAGGAGGAGGAGGAGGAGGGGAGGAGGGGAAGAGGAGGGAGGAGGAGGAGGAGGAGGAGGAGGAGGAGAGGAGGAGGAGGAGGAGGAGGGGAGGCGGAGGAGGAGGAGGAGGAGGAGGAGGAGGAGGGGGGCAACGACCGCTGGCGGCGCGCAGGACCCGGGCGAGGAGGCCTCCTTGGGGGCCTCCCGGGGGGGGGGGCCTGTGCCGTCTGCCTCTCGGGGCCCTTGCAGGGGGGCGCGAGGCCAGGGGGACCCCAGAGGCCCCGGGGCGAAGAGCGCGCCTGGAGCATCTCGGGCCAGGACCGCTTCTGAGGGCGGCGCGCACATGGGGAGGCAAAGGTGGGAGCAGGGGAGGCTGCTCAGAGGCGGCCTGCTTCTAAGGAGGCGCGGGCCGCACATCTGCAGAGAAGGCCCGCGCCTTCTGAGAAGCAGGGGTGCTTCCAAGAAGCCTTCCCCCCCCTACCCCTACCCCTACTCTGCGCGCGGCTGAGACAGAAGGGGTGCAAAGGCTCGACTTTTCCCCAGCACCAAGCCACCGCGCAACTCTTTCCACATGGGGCGCTTTCGCCCACGTTCGGGCCCCAGGGACATCAAGGATCGATCCGGCTCGGAAAGCGCCTCTGGATGATGGTGCGTCCAGGGCTCCGGCCACGATGTCATGATCCCCACGAGGTTCCCACGAGCTGCACCCAACGTCGCGAGCACACCCTGGGTCGCCAACCACTCGCCATCGCTCGGACGTCCATTCCCTGTGTTTTTGTTCGGTTTCGTGCGTGGTTTTTTCGCCAAATGATCAAGGATGAAGGGGCTCCAGGACACACAAATAAATACACACAAATAAAAACATTCCCCATATTTTACCATATTTTCTGGGTTTCTGTCTTCCCCCCCACTTCCAATATTTTCCCATATTTTCTTGGAAAGCGAGGATTGATTGTGTCTGTGTGTTTCTTTTCCTCCTGAAAGGATGCTTCTCGATGGCCCTCGCCGAAGGAAAAACGCACACGTCCGAGCGATGCCAAGACCACCGAGGCCACGGAACCGGACCCCGCTGGCCGCGCGGCTCGAGGCGAGGCCAGCGTCGGGCTGCTTCTCGAGGAGGACTGTGCTCGATTTGTTCCCCACCGTCGAGTTGCCGCGCAGCTAGTGCTACAGGGCAATTTTTAGTACATAGGATTTGTCAAAACATCGGATTTTTTTATACAGGACTAATGTGATAAAAAATGTATGCATGAACTCATCGTTGTTCTTCCTACAAAACCCCTACATGTTTAATACATGATCCGCACGCGGAGCATGTATTAAAAACGGCACTGTACGGTCAAAGCGTGCAGTAAGGACGGGCAGCAAGGACGCAAGACCCTTGGAGGCCAAAGTTGGGATTTCTGGGGCGGCGGGCGACCAGTGAAAACGGCAAAGGACGGGTTGCAGAGGCAAGGACACAAGGGCACCCTAGATTAAGGCGCGCGTCCTCACTAGGCGCGTTGACCGTAGTTGGCGTCGGAGGATCGCACCGCATCGCCGACGCATCGGCGTCGACATAGAGAAAGTCGGGCTCCACATCGAGTTGCATTCCCGATGCATCGACGATGCGGAGCGATCCACCGACCCCATCTGCTCGGACCCCATCTGGGAGGCCTAGATCTACGACGTGAGGCTGAAAGACCACCAGGCACGCGGAGAACGTCACACGAGACGTCGTCAAGAGCGCCGACGTCACCGGAGGAAGGACGAATCGGGGCAGACAGCGGGCGGCAAGCAGGAGGCAGCGGGGAGACAAGAGAGCCGGGCAGGCTGGGGCACGGGCGGCGGAGCGGGGGGGAGGGGACAGGCGCGAGGGGCTCGAGGCCTTCGGCCGTCGCCGCGGGCTCTCCGCGGCTTGCGGGCCTCGGGGTGCTCTCCGGCAGCTGCGCCTCGCCGAACACACACACACACACACACACACACACACACACACGCACGCGCACACACACACACATTTGTTTTTGTCGAGGCCGCGGGCGAAAGCGCACACGGCGTGTCGTAAGTCCGGGGCGCGGGCCTACTAATTGACAAACACACACATTTCAACAGTGCCCGCAGCGTCCCGAGCGGCCGCTGGAGATGCTGCCCGCCGTGAAGGCAAGAAAAAAACATGGCGGACGGCAAGACAGGAGGAGGAGCAGGAGGAGGAGCAGGAGGAGCAGGAGGGGGAGCAGGAGGAGGAGCAGGAGGAGGAGGAGGAGGAGGAGGAGGAGGAAGAGGAGGAGGAGGAGGTGCTCGGCGTCTGGGGGGGGGGGCCCTGGCGCGGAGTAGCGGGGCCGCCGAGGGGCGGCTCGGCGAGGGTGCCGGTGCAGGGGGACGGGTCGAGGCCTCGGGGGGCCACAGCAATGAAGGGGCACCAGGACACACACATAAATACACACAAATAACAAAAATATTCCCCAGATTGTCCCATGTTTTCTCGATGTTTGCCTTCCCCCCCCCCTTCCCATATTTTCCCATATTTTCCGGGGAATCGACGATTAATTGTGTCTGTGTGTTTTTTGCCCTCCTGAAACAAGTCGTGACGCCGGGGGTCTGGGGACAGTGGTTCAGCGCTCGGGCCATGTTCGAGGGGCCGAGCTGTTCCAAACGCCGCGAGCACACCCCAGGTCAGGCACCCGGATGCAGGTTTCGGCCCGTCCACGGGCAGGAGGACGCTGGACGAGGAGGAGGGAGCAGGAGGAGCAGGAGGAGAGTGCTGTCAGCTGGGCTGTCTGAGTAGAGCAGCCAGGGAGGAGCGAGAGGCGGGACTAGGACGAGTAAGGAGGACGAGGAGGACGAGAGGGACGAGGAGGACGAGGAAGCCGATGAGGAAGAGGAGGACGACAAGAGCCAGACAACATACCAGACGAACGGTCTCCTCCTCTTCCATTGCGAGGCCGCGCCGATCTTCCACGAAGAAGAGCGTCACGAAGAAGCCGACGCCGGCGCACACCGCACACATGTAGAAAGCCACGGAGTTGCCGTACGAGTCCGACAGCGGCTTGAAGCACGAGGAGCCCAGAACGGCACCCAGCTTGCCTGGTCTCGAGGGGCCAGCACGACCAGAACAGCTCCATTCCTCCTCCTCCTTAGAGATAAATAATTATCCTCATCCTCCTGCTTTCCTCCTCCTCCTTAAATAAATGAATAAATATCCTCCTCTTCCTCCTCCTCCTCCTTCCTCCTCCTCCAGAAGAGCTCCTTATAAAAAACTTCTCCCCGTCGCACCCGAGGCCGGTTTTCAGGGCGGGCCAGGCGTTTCGCCTGAGACTTCCTCACCATTTATGACACTGAAGCTTAAACATTGGCAACAGCTTCACAGATGGAGGCCGGGTCGTTGTCGAAATGTGGTTCTCGCCTTCGCGCCGCGCACATTCGTGCGAAAACAGTTGTACGAGTTTCACGGGTTGGAAGCGGGTCGTCTTCAAATGTGGCTCTCGCCTTGGCGCCGCGTACATTCGTTTGGAGAAATTTGCAAGAGCTTCCCGGATTGAGGACGGGTCGTTTTGAACATGTGGCTCTCGCCTTTGCGCCGCGCACATTCGTTTGGACAAATTTGAAAGAGCTTCCCGGATTGAGGGCGGGTCGTTTTGAAAATGTGGCTCTCGCCTTAGCGCCGCGCACGTCCTCGTTAAAGAACTGCAAGAGTTTCACGGGTTCACATGATCGACGTACCAGACATGATGTTTCGGAAAGATTCACGATTATGAGAGCGCAACAGTTACGATGAATCGCGGTGGTGGAATCCCAGGAATGGCGTTCTGGCACAATTCAGGATCGTCAAGACGCAACAGGCTAGTTGATCCGTGACGTTGGAATACCGAGAAAAATGTCTTGGCATGCTTCAGGGTCTTCAAACGGCTGTCTTGCAACGAGGCAGGTCCCTCTGTGGAAATGAACCGTTGTAAGGGCCTATGAAGACGGAGCGTGGGGGGAGGGCATATTCCAACATCGTTGGTGACTCTTGGGTTTACACTCCTCCTCCTCCTCCTCCTCCTCCTCCCCCTCCTCCTCCTCCTCCTCCTCCTTCTCCTCCCCACTAGCTCCGCCCGAGACGGAAATCCACCATTCCTTCGGCGTGCGTGAGATGCTGTCGTCGTCTTCGTCGTCGTCGTCGCCAGTCCCGAGAGAAAAAGGAACGAACAGAGAAAAGAAACGTCGTAGTTAAGTCGATTCCCTCCCCTCTGTCCCCTCCCTGACGGGGGGGGCACGGGGGGGTAAGGGGGAAGGAAGGGTGGGGGAGCGCGTAAACCCATCTGTGTGAAACGCGTTTCTGGCGAAGCGTTCTCCGTTTCAATTGCTGCTGTCCGTAACCATTGTGGCTCCAGGGGCCCCTTGAGCCGCCTTTGGGCGTTACCATAATCTTTCGAGCTCCAGAGAGCTCGCGACTCAACCAGATAAACACATTTTCCCAGAGAGAGAGAGAGAGGGAGAGAGAGAGAGAGAGAGAGAAAAGAATAACGACTTATTATTCCTTGCGAGACTCTCTGGAGACGTGCTGTGCGTGCTGGCCCGTGGCGAGGAGAGACTGGCTCAGCCTCGCACCGGTGCAGGAAGCGAAAGACAACCCGTCCACGGAGCCTCTGTTTCAGATTGTTGCCACGTCGAGATCGGTTTCGGCACGCCCGTCGGGGAACCCCGCAGGAAGGGGGGGAGGGTCCCGGGTCAGCTTGCCGCCCCCCCCCCCCGCGCCCCTGTTCCTGGCGGGTCCCAGGCGGGTCCCCCCTGTGTGGACACGGGGACCACCCCCTCCAGGGGGGGGGAGTCGCCTGCGGGGATCCCAGGGGAAGTCCCGCCTGTGGTGGGTGGTGGTGGTCCCAGCTCAGAATGCCGCCCCCCCCCCCTGGGGCCCCGGCGGGTCCCCAAGGGGGGGCGCCCGCCCGGGTCCTGGAGGACCCGCCTTCCGGGTCAGCAGTGCTGGTCGTAAGGCCTTCATAAAAAGGGCGGGGCGGACGGAAATGAGGGATGGGGGGGGGGGGACGGGGGGGGGAAGGAAAGTGAGTAATAGAGAGTGGTCAGCCGTCCTGGCTCGGGCCTCGCGCCAGGACAACGGCGCCTGCACCAGACGCGCTGGCCTCCCACTTGGGCAGGCCCCGTGGCCGGGACGAGAGCCAGGAAAACAGCCCTCCACGAACGGGGAGCCCCCTCCGCCAGCTCCGGGCCTCCGCGCCAGGCCTCTGCACCAGGCCTCCGCACCCTGGTGCCGAGCTTCCTCCCAGGCCTCGGCACCAGCCCGGGGCCCAGGGTGGACCTGGCCAGGACGGGCAGTGGCGTGCGGCTGGCGTCCCCGACAAAAGGGCTCAGCCGCACCCCCAGACGCGGCCCCTACGGAAATGACCACCCCCAGAAAAACTGTTAGCCAGCGTGGGCCCCAGACAGTGAGCCATTCCAATGTGGAGCTGCAAGGTATGCTGAGCAAGCTATGCTGTGCAAGCCATGGCTTGCAGGCTGTGCGGGGTATGCTCGGCGGTGTCATACGTGCTGTGTATGCTATGCCGTGCGAGAGAATGTGTGTGAGCTGTGTGGTGTGACCTATGCGTGATGTGAGCGACGCTGTGCGAGCTGTGCGGGGCAAACCATGCGGTGGGAGCTAGGCTGCGCGCGCTATGTGGCATACCCGCCCAGGACTCGAGGCGCCGACGAGGGCCGCCCACGGGCGAAGATGCCGCGAGACCCCGTCGGACCCAACCAGGGCACGAGGCGCCCACGAGAGGCGCCCACGAGAGGCGCCCACGGACGGGCACGTGACGAGACCTCGGCGGGCCCCCCCGCGGCTCGAGGCGCCCAAGGAGGCGCCCACGGGCGAGGGCGTGGAGCAGCCTGGTCGGCCCCGCCCAGCGCACGAGGCGCCCACGAGAGGCGCAAACGGGCGGGAGCGTCGCGAAACCTCAGCGGACCCACCCCGGGGGCACGGGGCCCCCGCGAGGCGGCCACGAGGCGCCCGCAAGGGCGGGGGCGCGGCGGGGCCTCGGCGGACCCACCCGGGGCACGAGGCGCGCAGGAGGCGCCCGGAAGGGCGGGAACGTGGGCGAGACCTCGGCGGGCCTGCACGGCTGCGCAGGAACCCAAGCACGAGCGCCTACAGGGCGGTTCTTAATACATTGGATTGTTTAAAATATCGGATTTGTAATACATGATTAAGTTATGAATACATGTATGCGCGAACTCATCGTTGTTTCTAATACTAAATCCCTGCATTTTTTATACATGATCCGCACGCGGAGCATGTGTTAGAAACGGCACTGTACAGTCGGACTTGAGGGGAGAGGGCACGCGAGAGGGCACAAGAGACCCTTCCGAGGGCCACGCTGCCACAGAAGTGCAGGAGGCATGGGTCGCACGGCACAGGACACGAGAGCGCCCTTGTCCTGGCAGGGTCGACCTACCAATCTGGGCCGCCTGTAGGTGCAAGCACTGCTAGGGGGGGAAAGACGAACTCTGTCGGCGCGGTACAGCGACCGGGAGGGGCCATTCTGCGGGGGGGGCACCCGGCCAGGGGGGGTCGTTCCGTGTCCGTCGATGTCCTGAGGCGGCGCAGAAGCCGTTGAGGGAGGTGCGAACCTCACGAGGAAATGTCTCAGACGGCAGGATGAAAGTGGTGCTGTTGGGCCCAAAGTTGCTGGAGAAGTACGTGAGGCCGTAGAGCGTCAGAAGAAGACCGGCGCTGTTCTTGAGGTCATCGACGAAGACCCCGAGGCTGGCATACAGCACCGCCATGACGACAAATCCTTGCATCTGGATGTTCTTGCGCCCCATGCTGTCCATGAAATAGACAGAAACATAATAGCCCGGCAATCCAATCAGGGCAAGTATCGTTAGCTGCAAGCAAAGATTATTTGGCAGTCCGTCTCCGATTACGGGCGTCAGCCCTCCACTTGTGTGGAATACGTTCTTGAGGACAGTCGGGGCAAAGAGGGTATTGCCGTAGAACGTGATGTCAAAAAGAAACCAGCCACCAGCACATCCGATGATCTTCGGCCAGTACCTTCGATTGCGCAATACTCGCGTTACTGTGATCTGCGAGTTGAAAGACTCTGGGCTCTGCACTATATGTAACCGGTTCTGTGAGTCCGGAGGTACTGTCTTGAAGGGTATCAGAAGGATTCCTGGCAGTGCCCCTACGCCCAGCATGAGCCGCCAGGAGATGTCTGGCATTGGCAAGTCCTCTGTCTTACGATGCTCGTACGTCCCAAAACTGTACAAGAAGACCATCCCCACGAGTGGGACCAGCAGGGTACCGACGCCCTGCATCGAGAACACCAAAGCCGTCGATCGGCCCCGATTCGCGGCGTCGGAACTCTCTGCAGCGATGGTGGCCGCCAGCGGGTAGACGCCACCGACGCCCACGCCAAGCACGAGGCGACTCAGGCTGAGAAAGGTGAACACGCTGCTCTCGGCATCGCCCACAGGCACCGCGAAGGCAGACACCAGGGCGCCGAGGATGGAGAGCGCCATCGTCAGGCTCAGCGCCCGAGAGCGCCCTATGCAGTCGCCGATGTAGCCGAAGGCGAGCTGCCCCAGGATGGACCCCACGAGGCAGGCGGTGCCCGCGGCTGTGACCTGCGACTTGCAGTTATCGCCGCCGCAGTACTCATTCTCCATGATGACGTGGGCGAGGTTGATGTTCACAAGATTGTAGGCCGTGGAGAGGTTGCTACAGGCCGAGATCAACGTGTTCCGCGACCGTCTTCTCGACGCAGCCCGCGCTTCAGAGCTCTCCGCCAGGCCAAAGGCTCGGCCGAGGCTCAGGCTCATCGCCATGATAGAGGCGAGCCGCTGGCCACCTGCACAAAGCCAAACTGCCAGGGGGGAGAATGCAAAAGGGGTAATGAGGTGGTTGGTGCTTTCTTAACCCTCGTCCTCCTTCCTCCTCGTCTTCCCTCATCCTCATCCTCATTCATCGTCGTTCCGCTTGTGTCTTGCGATTTGGTTCGCAGCGCCACCTGACGGGTGAGAAATGTGGAAAGACGAAGGTGGTGAATGGGGAACCCAAAAAGGCACCCATACCGCCACTCCCTGGACCTCTTGAGGGGAGCATTCTGACCTATATAGACTTCGAGGCGAATCTAGCTGCGGCGACGAGGGCTCCCCAGGAGGCCGAGGAAGGGAAAACGAGGGCAGGGGTAGCAGTATCCGTACCTTCTCTTCCTGTGAGGCTGGCGGCGCGGAAGAGGAAGCGGAGGAAGAATGATGCCAGAGTGTGGACACCGAGCACTGCATCCTGGGGACGGAGCAGGGACAGCAACGCCGCCAGCCAGGCCCAGTGGAGGTAGTCGCTCCTGGAAGCGGCTGCATGCAACCCGATTGGGACACGACACCAGGCGCGCAAGCCGCTACTATCGCATCACATTCAGCGATCGGTCGGGGAGCCCCATTGGGCCAGCACTCGAGGTCACTCCGGCGACAGGCCGCCCCTGCGTGTAGCCGATGGCAGCCCCACGGCGGCCTCGTGGGGATCCCCCCATTGGCGCCCTCGGAGGCCTCTGGAAAGTCCTGGGACCGCCTGAGGAAAACCGCAGGGTGCGCCCAGGAGGGCCCTGGGAGCGACCTGAAGGCCATGGGAGGACCCCCGAAGTGGGAAACCCCGAGACCAGGAGGCCACTCGAAGCCCCGCCGACGCCCCCGGAAGCGCAGACGTCCGCGGCGAGCCCAACATCGAAACCGACCAGACCGATGGCGAAACAAAAATTTTGTTTGATCCGCGGGTCGAGAGCGCACCTCTTCCGGTCGAAGCTAAGCGGGCCACCGATGGCGAAACAGAAGCCCACAGGAATACATGGATCGAGAGCAGCGCAAAGGAACGCAGCGGCGCACCAGCCGACCACACTGAAGCGACCGAACGCGACCGACTGCGAAACGGCCGAGGCGACCGGACCGCGGACACCTTTTTGGGAGGGTTTCCCGCGGCTCGTGCCGCGAGGGCACGGCCACGAGGGGGTGCGTCGGCCGCAGGCGAAGGGCATCGCCTGCAGCTCTGCGCGTTGCACAACCCTCGGCGCCCCGAGAATTACTGAGCGCAGCGCCCACGCAGGCATGACGCACAATCAAGTTTCGAGGTGCGGGCAGAAACGTCGCAGCACTGTTGCCATCCTCCACGGGGACGCAAAGTTGGGTAGAAGAAGTAGGCGTGCGTAGACGTAGGTGTAGTGAGCTTGCGGTGGGCGCGTTCAGTACCTAGCGTGGACGCGAACGTTACTGGCAGTGCAGCGCTGATGTGGAAAAGAGATCGGAGACAGAGATGATGGCAACACATGCAGGTAGTCAGGTTGGCTCGCAGAGGTACATCAGCATACTACATTCCCCTGTTATCAATACGAACGTATTCGATCTGCAAATATCGCCGGGGTGAACACTGCGCGCGGCCCCATGTCGCTTAAGCTCCTTGAGGCCGTTGGAACCTTCAACATGAAGTCGGAAGCTCTGAACTCTCGAGTGCCTTGGGGCGGGGCCCATTGAGGTCACTGGCCCTGGAAAATCCGAACGAGGCCCTAGAGCCCCAGAGGTAGCTTCTGCCAGTGGCGATGCTGGGGGGGCACCCCAACGGGGGTCTCCCATGCACACTCGGGGGGGCGGCACGATGCCGCAGGGCGTCCTGGATAAGACAACAAAGTATGAACACAAACCAAAGAAACCCAGGGGACCCTGGCAAAACGAAGGGTGCTTCTTGGCGTGGGCTCCCACTGTAGCGGTGCGGGTACATCTTCCTCCTCGGAAACCAAGGGCCAAGTGGCGGCGACGACGGCGACGGCGACGACGTCGAGCCCCCCTCCACTGGCAATCGCTGGAAGAACTTCGAGAAGCACCTGCGACTGGCGCCCCCGGATCGCATCGGAGCAGCAGGGAGACGCGGCGGCACGAGGCACTGCCCGTGAGGGCTCCGAGGGGCCCCGGGCCCACCGCCGCCGCCCCTGGCGGCTCGGCGGCCGAGGCGGACGGCGGCGGCGCGCCTGCAGGTAAGGGCGATGCTCTGCCTGCCACCACAGAGGAGCGCCGCAACTGGATCGCAGTCGTGCGGTTCCAGGCGGGGCGAGAAGTCACAGGGGAGCGAAGCATCGCGCTCGGAGGAAGAAGAGCAGGACGAGAACGAGGATGAGCAGCGCGCAGCAGGATGCAACGACTCAGGCTGCCCGGCCCCGGCGCCCATCGGTCCTGATCTCGGGAGTGAAGTTGTCACGCATGCGCCACACGATGAGGAAGGCGTCGCCGATATTCCTATTCGCCGCCCCGTGCCAGGTGTCAACGGTATTGTGGACAATCTCTG